AGCTGCCAGTAGCGACGGCTGTTGCTGAATCTACACGCGTAGCTTGGACTTGCACGTATCCATCACTGCTATGTTTTACACGACCCATGGTAGTCTTAGTTGCAGGCATCACAAGTGGTGCCACTGCTGGCGTATTATAATTGTACCGTCCGTTGCCTGAGCCATCGAGCTGCATGTTGTTGGCCCTGGGAGAATGGAAACAATGCGGGGAATCGACACGCGGTGCCGCACACGAAACATGTCAGCGGCTGTTGGTGTCGGACACTACTACTGCTGTACATGCATCATATCACGACGAATGTTTTTGAAGTGGGCATGCGTAAGTGCTGTTAATCTTCACCATGCTGTTCCCCGCACATGACGTCTCGTGGAGTAGAGTGGTGCCCAACAGCCACGACAACTTGATCATGTGATGGTCAAGGTTTGCCTGAGACCGTCATGCTACTGCTACTGCTACTGCTGTCCTGTTGTCTCACGCACCCTTTTCCACTGTCGCTCTCTCCCGCCTCTGCCCTTGCTGTTGATGCAACAGTGAGTCTCAGGGGCTCCTGCAGGCCGCCGCTGGGACTGGGTTCATCGGCTTCTCAGCCTTTCAGACCGCAGCCAAGGCTTCCCCTACTACTGCCAATGTCGAGGGGGGGGGCACCGCGGGTTCAACCCCGGCTGGTAAGGCTGGTGCAGGAAGCGGCGATGGAGGGAAACGGCGGGTGAAGACGGCTATGGTGAATGGAGGTTACTCGGCGGGATCTGCTGGACAGGTGAGTGCTCCGGTCTTCTCCGGCGAAGTGAGGTTGTAGGGAGTGGAACGCCGGCGTATTGCTGGTGGAAGCAAAATTGAAGTCACTTGTTTGAGGTTTGGTACAAAAGGTTGCTGCCATTCCTACGCATACGTGATGGCATATTATTGCGTCCCTACAGTAGTAGAAGTGAAAATATTGTTCAAGTACAAAACACGAACAAACCACACCCCTTATTCTACTGTTGCCAACAGAACCAAAGGGTCGTTGTGCGTAGCAAAGCGCGCGAGATGTGTTCAACAGGTGTCAGGTTAGCCGCTCTAGGCAACCGCTGTTGAGAATCCTGCAAGATATCACTCTTGTTGCCAGGGAAAGACTTGTATATATCGCAACATACGCTCGTATTCCCCCTGGCGTCGACAAATTGAACGATCCAGCAACGAGATATTGACATACCAGTGGTGCTGGTACGTTACCTTTGATTTTTTCTTTGGGCGGGTGTGGGAAGCGTCCTCCTTTGTTTTTGTTTTTGTTTTAATTTTGATCGGTTTCCGAGGGCTCTTTTCTCGAACGGTCGATGCGATACCTGTTCTTTTCTTTCTATCATGTCGTTTTCTTTTTCCGAGTGGTTTGTACCCTATTTTTGTTTTGTTTCCCCGCGGCGTCGTATGTGCCGGGTTTTGAGACCACGGGCTCCCCATTTTTGTGGACTATAGAGCTAATGTGAGAAACAACAACAACAACAACAATACCCGCACCTCCTGCCTGTTGGTGGCGACAGCAGGTACTTCCTCCGCACTACTCCGGGAGTGACAGCCACCTCGCTGTTGTGAGCAAGCGGCTGTCCAAGCGGGATGTCACCACTAAGCTTAAGGCGTTGGCTGAGCTAAGGGCCATGTGCAGGTGAGTCGAAGTGTCATCAGCGAGGGAGAGAGAGCGGAGAGTGAGAGGGACAGACAGACAGACAGACAGACAGACAGAGACGGAGATAGAGAGAAACAAACAGACAGGCAAAGAAAGGGATAAGTAGCAGAAAGAGCCGCGGTGTTATCAGGCAGCCATACCGTGGCCAATGCTACCAGGACCAGGATCGTACCATAACCGCCGAGCTAAAGTCAAACGGATCACCCCTGTCCCGCCACCCCTTACCAATCGCATTCCACCAACGTTCTTTCCTCTACACCCTCGATGGGACGTTCTTTCTTTTCCTGCATTAAAACAGGCTTGTTACTCGCGATGCGGAGCCAGCAGCAACACCGCAGCCTGGCCCCGGGCAAGATAGCCGGGCAGGAACATCTAGAGCAAGTTCCGGGGTCGCGCCTGCGAGTGGTGCGGGTGCGGCGGAGTCGTCGCCGATGGATGCGCCGGCCACGTCAGCCGAAGACCTGGGAGGATTGGCACCGCACTGGGTTTTCTTGTACCAGAGACTGTCGGCAGAGGGTGATCGAAGGGTGAGGGCAACGCTGTAAAGACGTAGTAGTACCCCTGACGTACAAGTGTCCGGTTAAGGTATCTGGGTTGCCTGGTTGCCATGGCTTGTGTTGGTGGGCAGAAGGGCAGTGCCTAACCTTGGTATGTATTTTGTCTGTAGGAATACCCTGGGGTGGTACCACACGCCATTCCGCGATTGGTGCGTTGTAGTCCGGTGTTGCAGCTTCGCTTCGGGGTAAATGTGTATGGGTGCGGCGTTGGCATGGCGACCTCTCGCGGTGTGTTTCGTGCAGGAGCTTGTTGACGTCGTGTGTTTTCTTGGTCCCCGGGTGGCAATCGACGCTGCTGCTTCTGGTCCTCCTGTTGGAATTCCTTTCCCCGCCTTCGGCCTCTCCTCGCTGCAGACTCGCGAGGCCGCCAACACGACGCTGTTGTGCATGCTCAAGGCTAACCGAAGGGCATTCCAGCCGCTCATGTCTTCTCTCATGGGGCCGTGGTTCTGCTCGCAGGCCGATACTGCACCTGAGGTAAGCGCACTCTGAAACCGCACCGCAAGTGTTGTGCGGCCGATAGCCCGTGTGCGGATCTCGGGTATTGCAGAGAATATCTTCCTCAGTATATGGTGCTCACATGCCTCTGTGTGTTCGTCTCGACCACAGCGTAGGAGAGCACGGCGGGCGGCCTTGGTTTTACCTACCGACCAGGGAGAGCTAACTGCATGTTGCTTGTTCATCACTTCTGTGATGACCTTTGAGTACCCGTGGTGATTTCGACGTGCTTGTTGACGATGTGTTGTGATCGTGCAGGTCTCCTCGTCGGCAAAAGCGGCGTTTGAGGTGGTTTTTCCGGAGGCGAAGCGGGCATCCGTCCTAAGGCGTTGTGCCGGTAAGACGAGGACCTTTTCCTTAACCTTCAACAGCAGAAGGTGCCAAGTGCGAAGGAAGAAAAAAAGTCGGAGGAAGCACCGGTTCAGTTTAGCCCTCCTTGTCAGCATCACAGCCGCAGGACGGACTGTCCAAAATATCTCTCGTGGGTGCTGCCTGTCCAATAGAGCTCAAAGCATGTGTGTGTGTTTTCTGCGCTCTCCAACCATTCACTACCTATCATGTTGTCCACGCGGTTGTCGCTTTTTTTCGACCGGAAAAACAGAGGGCGTGCTGAGCTACATCGACACCACGGTGCAGCAGACCCCGAAGATGCTGGAAGAAGCTTCTGGTTGCACCGCTGAGGAGGTGTGTTATGATGCCGTGATCGTGTGAACGTGTGAATCGGGATTCTCAAGGTTGCCTCGCCGTGCCTACGCAGGGTCTCGCATCCCTACAAAGCCGGGACGGAGCACGCCGGGTTCTCACCGGGCCAGGCTCTCACATCACCAAGCGCGAAGCGCCGTGAGGTATTCGGCGAGTCGCATGAAGGGTGCGCTGCATCCTGCTTAGGGTGTTCGGCATCTTGTGCTTACTTCCTTGCATACGGATGACAGCTGCGTATGACTTCATTTCCTTTCTGGTGCTTCCACTTTCAGAGACAGTTGTAAGCACTGTGTAACTGCCTCGAGGGTGCTTGACCATTTTAACACGACGTGGTGCGATCATCCCCCTTGCCCGGAGTGAGGGTTCTCCACCCAGCACAACATGATATACTCGATCACCATTATGGTTACCGCAAAAAAAAAAACAGAGGTAAAAAACAAAAACGGTAACTTGGTTGCCGAGTTCACGAAGTGAATTGGCTTGTTTTACAACGTCGTTGCCAAGCGACGAAA